GAAGCGAGGAAAGGCAGCAGGACCGGATAAGCTCACTCCCACTCTTCAAGATGGGGGGGTTGATAACCTCGTAAGCTCTATTACTATCCTACTGCGCAAAATTTGGACGCGAGAACACATTCCTTCATCTTGGGACGAACCACTGATCGTTCCTATTTTTAAGAAAGGATCCCGCAACAATTGCAAAAACCACCGCGGGATAAGTTTGATCCCGTTCGTCACCAAAGTGCTAGCTTCGGTTATACTTCGACGTCTGACACCTTTAAGAGAGACCAACATCCGTGAACAGCAAGCCGGATTCCGGCCTGGCCGTGGATGTATTGATCAGATTTTTACGTTGCGTCAGATCCTTGAGCTGCGTCATACTCACCGTCGGCCAACGATCGCAGTGTTCCTTGACCTGAAAAGAGCCTTCGACTCAGTTGACCTCGAAGCTCTGANGGAAGGAATGCCCCAGAAGTACATTAACCTACTGAGGTCACTGTACTCACAGACCTCCGGTCGTGTTATGGTTTACAACGAACTAAGTAGGCAGTTCGTCACCAGCAGCGGCGTTCGTCAAAGGTGCTCTGTTTCGCCGTTCCTGTTCAATTTCGTCGTCGATGAAATGCTGGAGAGCGCACTAAGGGGATTCCAAAACGCAGGTATTGAATGGACAGCTGGAGAAGAGCTGTGCGATTTGAAGTACGCCGATGACATCGTCTGTCTGTTCGAACGTATGGAGGACGCGCAAAGCGCAATTGATAGATTAACAAGTGCAGTGACCACATTCGGTATGTACTTTGCACCTTCAAAGTGCCAAGTGCTGCTGCAGGACTGGGTTTCGTCTACTCACTCTGACACTAAATAGCCAGAATTTAGCTGTGGTGGATTACTTTTCCTACTTAGGTAGTTGCTTGACCAATGACGGTAGTGCAGCAAAGGAGATAACCGCCCGCGTTTATAAGGCTCGCATACGCAGGACTGAAACACCTTTGGCGTAGACGTGACGTTTCACTTGAAGTTGAAAGGTCGTGTATATTATGCTAGCGTTCGTTCATTCCTGCTTTATTGTTGTGAGACCCTGAATTTGCGAGTTGAAGATATCCGTCGACTGGCAGTTTTCGGCAATCGGTTTTTACGTAGTTTAGCGCACATTGGATGGAGCGAACGAGTTAGTAACGTGGAGGTAAGCCGTCGTGTGTTTGGGAGTCTATCAGGTATAAACTCCCCGCCAAACCGAATTCAGATTAGTAGAATTCGCTGGCTAGGGCACGTATTGCGTATGCCCAGCTGTCGTCTGCCGCACCACGCTTTATTCGCTGTAGCTAATCCGGGCTGGAGGAAACCGCGTGGTGGTCCGCAGATGACGTGGAGACGAGGCATGAAGAAATGCACAGAGCCATTAGTAGAGTAAGTGTCTCTCGCCTTCCAGGTTGGGGTCCGAAAGACTCCACAACTGGTTGGTTTGAAACATTGAAGGATATGTCAGCGAACCTACAGCAATGGCGTTCTTATTGTCTTTTCTTATCAGGTCAGAATGCTTAAAACGGTATGTTTACAGAGTTCGATTGTGTACTCTGTGTGTTGACCATAGCGGTTCACTTTCTTCCCCCCCTTCAAAATAAGTCCAATCCCTGTCCACTTTAAATTTCACCACTAACCTTGTATGTATGACGAGTTTGGCAGCGATCAGTGAAGTTCGCCCCACTGTATTTCGCTGCACGATGATGACAGGAAGTGCAACACGCTTTGAACCGCTTGGCGATAGAGGTATCTAGGTATGGTAGGTGCTTTTCGCCATCCAAGTGGAAAGTGCTTGTTCTAGACTGGTAGGAGCCTGCGCCTGCACTCACCATCTGTGGTGATCAGCTGGATGTGGTTGAGAGCTTTAAGTACCTCGGGAGCTTGATGGTAATGTAGGGGAATAGATCACATCACGAACGGTCAAAGCTAGAGCAGCTTTCACCAACCTGCGACGCCTGTGGTGCCTCCATGTCATCCGGCTGTCCCCTAAAGGAAGGGTGCACATCGCCGCGGTTCGTAGTGTNAGTGTTCTCCTTTACGGTTGCGAGACCTGGCCCCTCCGCGCTGAGGATGCTAATAGACTTTCTGTATTTGACCACCGATGTCTTCGAAGCATTGCTCGTGTCTGGTGGCAACATTGAGTGAAGAATGACGAGGATCGTCGTCGTGTGTCGGGTATGGATAGTCACTCTCTCGCGAATTAATTTCTCTACATCTCCTCCGATGGCTTGGTCACGTATTGCGTATGCCTGGCCATCAAATACCTTTCCGTGCTTTCTTTGCACGTGCCGGGAAGGCCGGAAGAAGCGCCGCAGCAGTCATANCGTAGAGGTATGAAGAAGCTGGCTTCAGCTCTCGCTTCGGTTGGTGCAGCCCGCCTTCCAGGTTGGGGCCCAAGGGATAAGGGTTGTCGTCGACTAGAGACGCTGAGAGATATGGCACAGAATAGAAGTCAGTGGCGCGAATACTGTGCGGTCTGTTTGCAGACATCCCGTGCCCCATAAAAAACGGTAAACTGGCACAAAAAGTATCAAAAAGTGTACGATGGAACAAACCAAAAAAAAATTGTCCGTCCGTTTTTTTAAAACTTAACTATCTGACCCTGCTTTACCCTGCTTTGTATCCCAACACCCATCATTTTCTGTAATTCTTATGTTGCGTTGGCACTAAGCTTGCTTGCAAGCCGGTGGTAAATTTATACATGTACGACCTACTGAGGCTTTGGGGTGGAGTGTATGCTGCAGCAGTTCAGGCAGTTCTGTTATAATGCTCAGAGATTCGACCGTTACGAAAACGGAATCAAACTAAAATGTTGGTGTTTGAACACCGCTCTCTACGTGGCATTGCGTGAGTCTGGTGGAGCAACCGGACAAGCAATGCTGAGGTTAGGTGCAAAGTTCTAGATATTCGTGGTCACCAACTGGAGAAAGCGGTCAACCGTCATAGATGACGTTTGTTGTGGCATGTGATGCGCATATCATCAAATAGATCGCCACGGCGCGCTGTTTGCCGAGGTAGGCAGAGGGGAAAAAGCCAAGGGTGATAAACTAAGATCTGGCTTAACTGTATGAAAACCCAGCAAAGAGATTCAGTCATTTAGGTCGCGTTAAGCTATCTTAATTAGGACAACGGGATCAGTGTAATCAATGGTTAGATACACTGAGTTATATGGCTGTCGTAGGCAGTGGTGCTTGTGCATCTACTCATTATCCTTGCAACCTCAGCCTTCATGAATTCTCTATTTTCACTCTGACAGTGATTTTACAACTCCCTATTTCCCTTTTTTCTTTCATCCAAATGGGGAGTTATGCGGCAACAACCTGAACCGGCGAACTAAAGTGCATGGTTATTGATTGCTTAAACCGAAAGCTGAATTTGTATACGCCAAGTTATGGTTTGACCGCCTCATAGACTTTTTCAGAATGTGTCAAGACAGCACGGAGAGCTAGGACGTTGGTGCGAATCCGCAAACATGATTCGGAATCGTTGTGGAGTGGTTTCTTTCAGAGAACGACTATTCACACCTATCCCTGATTGGGAAATGCAGCCACAACAGAAACGTTCATCGTAATATCCCATGTGAAAGCATACTGAGTGATGGGTGTTTTTAGTGCAATTAGCTGTTCACAAAAGTCACTGATTATCATCTCTTACGCACATTCTCTCCTGTCTGTTGAAATCCGTGCTCGTAATTCTGTCCCCCCCTATAGTGGCAGGAGAACATACAGTGTATCGATACAACGAATCGCTAGCTTTGGAATGGCTCTCAACTCGTGTGAGATCTCTATGTCGAATGTTGACTAGCCTAACCGATCCCGATTTGATCGATCAAGTCCGGTTTTGCTGTAGTGCAACTGGCAGCACTACGACTGACCCGGGAACCGCCGACTCTCGGGCTCCGGCTTTCACGACGAGTAAGTTCTCTCAATTTGTTATTAGTCCAAGAGCTGTTTTCTTGTGGATGCTATGCAATATACCACAAAAAATTGGGAAACAGCAAGAACATTGAATGTTATTACTATTTAAGGAAATTTTGTTGTATGGTTGACCAGAATAACCGAGTCCGGGCGCATTTTTGATTGATTGAACTGTGGATTTTTCGCGCGGATGATGTCCGAAACACAGTCAATGATTGTGCTGTGGTCAAGTTTTCCAGAACAACAACCCCGAGGTTGTGTGTTTGAATCCCACTACGATCCCCCATTTCTGTTTTCCCCAGATAATATTTTGTGTGTCATCTCTCTCCTCGATAATTAAATGAGATTTACTATCGTGATTTTTACCTTTATTTTTCTTTTCGAAAACGAAAAAATGTTTTTGCAAAGATCTGTGTACTTTACGGTTAATTGTTCTCCCTATCGTAACGTTACTCACTGTTATTCCTTTACACAGGTTAAGTCACATTCTGATTATTTTTGTACAGGATATTGTAATTGTACACTACGCTCCGGTGTATTTGAAGTGTAATAAAAAAAATCTCCGTCAACCTGAGCGTGATTGTCATTCACACTGGGCCACGAATCATCTTACAGCACGTTCACAATACTCCTCCCGCCTCACTTTACCCACTTGTCAATTTCCAATGGCTAGGTTCCACACAAGCGCGCCTCTTTACCAGCAGCACTTTACCGGAAGATATTTGTCAACGTTTTGCCTATCAACTAGTAGCGGATTATCTGGCACCGGATCTAGCTGATAGATTGCGAAGTCATCTTCATCTGGACAATGACTGCGTTGATGAGACAGCAAGTATCACCGGTGATGGCCATATGTCTGCTGCGGACGGATACACAAAAGAAAACCAGGAACCACTGTTGATCAACCGGAAGGTTAGTCAGTCTGTTTTATCTCTTTATTCTTATTCTTACTATTACTAGTATTATTGTTATTATTATTATCCTAAACATTATCACGAAGAGGTTGTATCTCGGCGTAATGTGATTGCATGTGAACCCAGGAAGCATTATCTTACAGAAAAGTTTAGAGGATGGAGCTCGGACTAACTTCAGTCTCCTAGTCCTTCAGGTTGGGGGTTCGACTCAGTTTTGCCTCTGAATCAGTACAAATATTGAAAGGGAAATAATGGATCCTTGATCCAAGTAGATGGGCCTGTATGTCACCTTTGGTTTAGAACCCTAATCGTTCTGTTGGACTGCCTATCTGTACCAGTCCATCAAACTCCAACGAATGCACAAGCTATGAGAAAATTTGTACTGCATCGGGCGTCACGCAGGATAATCAGTTCCTCCAAAAGCCTCAGTATGGCCGTGGTGGGTGTCTAGGGTTGCGGTTGGTCACCCGTCCCTTGCATCTCGCGAAATGTTCCCATACTACCCCATCGTCTCTAATAGACTCTTCTGAGGAAGCCCTACCCATTGCCTTCTCGTGGCGCAGGTGTTTTCCCACCAAAGTTAAGGGATGTATAGCCGACATCCAGTACTATAACCGGGTTGGTTGTCCACCGGTAGTTCACCTTGGGGAGTTGGCCAAAAACCCTGATTCTAAACCAACCAGGAATAGGCGTGTGAACCACACTCACCCACACCCTCCTCGGTGTTGCAGTGGTCACCGGCTCGATTGGGCACCTTGGACGACNCTTAACCCCGTCCATAGGACGTATGATCCGATAAACTGGACACCGGCTCCCAATGGATTGCGGTTTCCACACGCTGTCCCGCTGCCTTGTGGGTCAAACTTTTGCTAGCTGAAGGCTTCGGTTTTGGATTCCTCAAGTTAGTCACCTGCTTTGGCCTGGGCAACCGGACAGTATCCAGCCCACGTGCAAATCATGGCACGCTTTTCATTTTATAAAGATTGTTGTACCATGATTTGTTTGGTACACAGTCTGGCGTCAGACGTGTGTGAAATATATATATATATATATATATATATATATATATATATAT